AAGCCGTGGACCCAAACGCCGTGCCGCCGCCGCCGCAGGCAGCACCCCTGCGACGGCGGCGGCAGCAAGCCGTGGACCGAAACGCCGTGCCGCCGAGTCCCGTGGCTGTGGCCTTCTGGCAGGAAACTACGGCCGCAGCTCGGCAGCACGGGGGCGTCGCAGCGTGCCGCCGCCGCCGCGCTGCCCCCCGGGCACGGCGGCGGCGGCGGCAGCAAGCTTGGGCCCAAACGCCGTGCCGCCGAGTCCCGTGGCTGCGACCGTAGACCGTGGGCCGGAAACTGCGGCCGCAGCTCGGCGGCACGTGGTTCTGTTCAAATCGCCAAGCGTGCAGCAGCGCCGAACCACGCTTCCCGGCCTCGGCGCATGCCTTCAGGGCCCCCCTATCGCTGGGCACACCCCTCCAACACCGAACATGCGCCCGGGGGGGAGGGCGGCCCGGGCTGCCCAGGCCAAAGTGGGCCGCCCTCGAGCAAGAGGCGGCCGGTCTGTGTGCTGAATGAATGAATTTTTGTGTGGGCTTAAAGTCTGGTAAAGCAAGAACTAGCTTGCAACATAGACTCCCCGCCGAAACGGGACGGGAACCGGGCGAAAGCAGAGAAAGCAATAAAACAGGGGTGGAGCAAGGCGACATGCAACGCAAGCAGCTGACAGGGCACGCATCGAAACGTGTGTATGACTGGCAAAGTGGCATGGCGCATTGGGGAGAAACGCAACGGTACGGGAGCATGGGCTGGCCAAACGGCAGTGCGGAACGCTAGGTCACTAGATAAGTGTAGCAGGAGCCTGAGCCGGCTCCCTGCCTTGCGTTTTCCCGCTTCCTGGTTACCTTATGATTGATCGCTATGATGCTATTCCCTATTCTGAGGCTTGTCAGCCTTGCATCATGAGCCGCTTTCCACTTCGCTTGACTGTGTACTTTAGCCGTGGAAGAGCAGGTCCTGTAAGCATTCTCACTCGAACAAGCCCGCTCCCAGGAACCGGGTGCGGCTACAATAAGCAGGGAAAGGCGCACTATGTATGAAATGAGGGCAGCCCCGGCTCGGGGCCGTTGAGAAAGCAGTGGGCGGGAGGGGGGAGGCCCCGGTGTGGGCGGGCCCCATCGAGGGGGGATGGGGCACGCAAGCGGCCAGATGGGGCGGGGCGCGGGCGGCAGTAGAGTCCTGCGGCTGGGTGGGATATAGGGCAATGAGCGTTGAGCAGTGTGCGATGAGCAATGAGCAATGAGCAGTGAGCAGCCCCTCCCTAAACAAAGTGAAGCGCAGGACGGGGTCCGGTGGATGGGAGGCAAGGAAACGCGGGGGGTTGCCACGTGCGCTCCCGCCGCCGCCGCAGGCAGCACCCCTGCGGCGGCGGCAGCGGCGGCAGCAAGCCGTGGACCCAAACGCCGTGCCGCCGCCGCCGCAGGCAGCACCCCTGCGACGGCGGCGGCAGCAAGCCGTGGACCGAAACGCCGTGCCGCCGAGTCCCGTGGCTGTGGCCGTGGGCTTCTGGCAGGAACCTACGGCCGCAGCTCGGCAGCACGGGGGCGTCGCAGCGTGCCGCCGCCGCCGCCGCCGCGCTGCCCCCCGGGCACGGCGGCGGCGGCGGCAGCAAGCTTGGGCCCAAACGCCGTGCCGCCGAGTCCCGTGGCTGCGACCGTAGACCGTGGGCCGGAAACTGCGGCCGCAGCTCGGCGGCACGTGGTTCTGTTCAAATCGCCAAGCGTGCAGCAGCGCCGAACCACGCTTCCCGGCCTCGGCGCATGCCTTCAGGGGCCCCCTATCGCTGGGCACACCCCTCCAACACCGAACATGCGCCCGGGGGGGAGGGCGGCCCGGGCTGCCCAGGCCAAAGTGGGCCGCCCTCGAGCAAGAGGCGGCCGGTCTGTGTGCTGAATGAATGAATTCTTCGGTACTGGCACATTTTTTGGGGCCGCCTTTCGAGGCTGCCCCAGCCCACAATATTTGGCCACTCTTGCGCCTGCAACGCCTGTGCATACCCCCCCCTGCCCTGCCAACGATTAAAATCCTTACCTTGCTGGAGTCTCTTTGGTAGCCTGCTCACTTTCGGGTGCCCTACTAGCAGAGCTGCCCACCATAACGAACTGTCCACATTGCCAACATTGCCTGCAGGCACACATGGTGCGAGGCACCCTCTAAGCACCAAGCCCATGCATGCACCAGCGCCAGGTGTATCTTACAATGGCTCAGCAAATGACCGAGTACTCGATGTCAAAAAAAGGTTGGCCGTCTTGCAATGTTTTATGTGTGCATGGACATGCTAGCATGTGCCCCTCTGACCTGCTTGCATTGTTATGTGCCCTCTATTATTCAATGTGTGTTGCTGGCTGGCTATGCTAGCATGTGCCCCTCTGACCTGCCTGCTCTGTTTTCTTGTGCCCTACCCCACACATTCATTTGGATCCCTCCTATTTCTGCAGCTTGTGAGTGATTGGCTTGCTGCCCACCATGTGGTGTATGTTATGTGTCCTCGTTGCCCAGATGTGTGATGCTGGCAGGCTATGCTGGCATGTGCCCCTCTGACCAGCCTGCTTTGTTTTCTTGTGCCCTACTCCACTCATGCATCTGGATCCCTCCTGATTCTGCAGCCTGTGAGTGATTGGCTTGCCGCCCGCCATGTGGTGTATGTTATGTGTCCTCGTTGCCCAGATGTGTGATGCTGGCAGGCTATGCTGGCGTGTGCCCCTCTGACCAGCCTGCTGTGTTTTCTTGTGCCCTACCCCACACATGCATCTGGATCCCTCCTGATTCTGCAGCGGGTGAGTGATCGGCTTGCTGCCTGCCATGTGGTGCTTGTTGTGTGCCCTCGTTGCCCAGATGTGTGATGCTGGCAGGCTATGCGGGCATGTGCCCCTCTGACCAGCCTGCTCTGTTTTCTTGTGCCCTACCCCACACATTCATCTGGATCCCTCCTGATTCTGCAGCGGGCGAGTGATCGGCTTGCTGCCTGCCATGTGGTGCTTGTTGTGTGCCCTCGATGCGCGGTTGTGTGTCTCTGCCCGGCCATGTGGTGTATAATATGTGCCCTTGTTGCCCAGATGTGTGATGCTGGCAGGCTATGCTAGCATGTGCCCCTCTGACCTGCCTGCTTTGTTGGGGAAATGCGGACAAGCCAGCCCGTGCCGCAACAAACAGACCGCGCGAGGCCGAACAACATCCTCTACTCGCACACAGAAATTTGCGGTGACCTGGCGCGCGCAGGCCTTTTTGCGTTTTGCGTGTCCGTGGGTCTATGCGCATTCTCGAACGTCGGACAGCGTGTGGCGGGCCGCGCAACCCACCGTACCACCACCCATCGCCGCCGCCAGTCTGCTGCCGCCAGCAGGCTGCAGTTAGTGCCAGCCACGTAGCCAGGGGTGCAGTACACTTGCTGTGTGCGCGTGACGTGGAGTTGTAGAAGGCATTATGGAGGAGAGGTGACATGGGTGGCAGCGGGGGAGAAGAGAGAGAAGGGGGGGGGGCATGTGAGGTGTGGCGCCGCAGCTGATTCTGCAGGGCAGGACGGCATGCGAGCGGGTACAGCTGGAGTACCTGCGAGGGCTGCTGGGTGTGCGGGACAGCACCCCAGCCCTCATTGTGCTGGCAGAGACGGGGCAGCTGCCGCTGCCCGCCTACTGGACCTTGCAGGTTGCACGCTTTGTGAGCAACCTGCAGGCTATGGGCGGCGAGCGGGTCGCCCGTCTTGCCATGCTGGATAGCGTTGCGCTGGCTGCCGACACGGACACAGGGCTGCCACTGGCCCGGCAGCCCTGGGCAGCGCAGGTTAGCCGCGTTCTCGCGGCGGCCGGCGCCCCCTGCGACTTGACTGCTGACGAGGGGGTTGCCATACCTGAATTGGCGGAAGCGCTCCTGGAGCGCCATGTTGCCTCGTACACGCATGCATCCGTGAAGGTGCAGCGGTACATTGAGGACGTGTGGGGGGGCAGCATCTCTGCGGAGGCCTACACGCCTGCGTCGTTCCTGT